TTTCTTTGAGAGTATAGATTTCTTTCTTTGAGAGTATAGATTTCTTTCTTTAGGACAACCCCCTTCTTAATAGTCTTGCATTTATTGTCTTAAAGATGAGTATTAATACACTGTAGAACAGCAATGATGAATTAATTGTGGATTGTTAATCTGGGAGAGATTATTTCTCTGAAATAATAATATGTTTAACAGGCTTTGGCTGAGGATGATTATGAGACAAGAAGAAAAGACCATCTCTCTCATTTCATACTACGCCTTGCTTACTCTCAGTCGTAAGTACTTTCTGTATTATGCTGTACTCTTACTATTAATTTTAAATGTATACAGAAACTACATTGCTATATTAAAGACATTACAGATATTTTAGAGTTGCATGGCTACTAAATAGAGAGGTAGGCTCAAAGAGAGGGTTTTTCTGCCAGGAACCTGATTTCAGCTGTGATGCAAAGGGATACTTGGGATCAAAATTAATATCCACATTTTGTAATAATTAAAAAGTATAAACTTTTGGGGTTTACGCACAGAATGTTGATTTGAGTCTCTTCCTTTTGACATCTTTTTTGAGATTAAAGTACACCGGTATTAAGTGTTTGTCAGGCATTTGCAGTGATTGATAATTTCATTTAAATTAACTGAACTGCTGCATATGCTTAGACTGTTGATTCTGACCAAAGACCTGACTATGTAAGTAGGTTTTATATTATTATCTGAAGAGAGAGCCTTGTTTCTGGCAAACTAAAAACACCCTCCAAGTTTGAGGTTTCCTCTACTGACTCTGCTTTTCTTTCAAATTCATTGCTGCAGATGGTTGCACTGCAATTTTTTTTTGTCATGTGAAATCTCAAGCACAAAGCTGGTCCTGTCAAGTGCATTCCGCTAGTTTTTGGAGGAAATTATAGAGGTTGTCAGTGCTTTATGTCTGTTAGTGGCTTTGTTATGCATCAGTGTGAACTCCTGACTCCTTGCCATTGCAGTCCTTTCTTAGAATTAAAATTGACAAATACAAAGTGTCTACTGTTTTGAATTGTTAATGCAATTGCACTTTACGTTGCAATATAGTTTGTTTAAATTAGGTGAGTGTGGTAGAATACATATTATGATACCATAATAGCTGATGTGACTGAAGTGGTGCTATGGATGGATACAGATTCGTAAGCAAAAACAGACCGGGAAGGTGAGTAGGAGGGACTGTGCTCTAAGCCAAGATACGGAGCTGGAATGGGTAGTGCTTTTCCTTGGAATGGCTCGTGAGATAGTTGAGAGTTCTGGGGCAAGTGTTGGAGAAGAGACCAAGGTGGCTAACAACACGGTAGCGGCCTGCTACAGACCATCTGATCAGAATAGGAAGTAGCAGAGGTCTCAGAAGCCTCCATGGAGGAAATCTCGCTGTGACAGGTCCTGGGTGACTTTAAACACCCCGAAATCTTCTGGATTATTCACATCCCATCATGTTGCCCTTTCAAAAGACTCTGGGCTGTGCAGAAGACAAACTGTTGATGTATGTGATTGATGAGCCAGCTAGATCTGTGATGCATGTACAGTGAAGAACAGGTTGTGGATGTGAAGGTCAATAGCCGCCTTCAGTGCAGTGACTGTGATAGTATAGTTTAAAATCCCGAAAGAAGGGAGCAAGTTGAATAACAGGATTACAGCTAAAATTCCTACTACCTTTCTCTATTCTACACGTATTATTTGCGATTATGAATAACAAATGTAATAGTGGTTTCTTTCTAGTGCTTATGTTTGTTGTGTATATTTTTGTGAACTCCCTTGGTCATACTGGTCCTGCTGATTTTTAGAGGAAAGTATATTGCTTTACTTACATTGTAAGTTTCTACCAAAAAACCCTAAAAGGTGGTATCCTTAAGTAGCCTGGTACTAAAAAGTCCCTGAAAGCCTGATGTTTCTTATTATGCAGGATTTTGAATAGTCAGTTTGGTTTCCATTATACTCTTTTGTAAAACTTTACTTTAAGCATTTAGTTATTATTTAGATGGGATCATTGTTTTTCTGTGGGAGATGAGACACTTTGAGGGTATTGGTAGTGACACATTTGAAGAAAGTTCTGCTAGTCTGGAAGGTAGAATTGTCTGGTGGCAAGAATCTGATGGGGAATTCAAGAGGCATCTATTTTTGGTTGGTCCGTGGCTTCAGGAAAAATGAATTTGGGTGAGATTCACAGAAAGCAATACAAGCCATGTAGCAAAAGCCTGAAGGTTAGGTATTTGCTTCAGGGGTGGAATTTACTAAGCTTTGTCCACTCTTCTGAGAAGAGAGGAAGCCCTGTGTGAATGACAGTGGCCAGCATGCTGAGCAAAAGGCTGTCTCAGTCAGAAACAACCAAGCAAGGACTTGGCTAAACATCTGCCTTTGTCACTGATGTGGTATCTTTCCCCTGCTATGCTCTGCATCTCTGTAGTGGCTTTGGAATCTCCTGGAATTAATGATAGATGCAGATAATCGGACTGCTTGCTTTTTCTCTGCAAGCTATCTTTTTAAAAGAAGATTGTTTACTTTTGCGTGAGAGCTTATTTGACTGTAGTGCTTGCTTAGGAAATAAATGCGAGACATGTTTCAAACTCTGTGTTTCAGGGAAGTATTTAAGAATTAGACTATAGGCAGGACAAAGGTGGGCAGCTTGTTGAAGGTGAACCACTGCATAAGTGAATGCAAGCTATTTTGGGCCACAGAAGCAGCAGGAAAGAGCCTGACTTTGTAGTCTAGGGGGAAAAACCCCTTCTTAGAGAGGAGGGGCCTTGGATGGGGCTCCAAGGGCACTCTTTAAACTACTTGCAAATGTATTTTTGTGATCCTGTTTATATACAGATGGTTTGATGCAGTGTTTCAATAAAGCGTCTTGATAGTCTGTTTCCACTTAAAGTAGCTTTTTTTTTTTTTTTTTTCTTTGCATTTGCAAAGGTGGACTTAGTGATTACTCATTAAATGGAAAATAGCATCTTAAGCATTTTGAGGTGAGCGGGTACCCAGCATTCTTCATTCTCTCTTGAAAAGCAGCTATTTCAGGGATGAGATATTTCTATGCTCCAAAACTGGCATGTTCCCCAAAAGATAAAATTGGGAGGCAAATAGAATATAGTGTTCTCTAAGTTTTTATCGTATTAGGTCAGAAAAATAAACTTGGCATAAATCATTAGGTTAATTGATGAAAGCTATTAAGGTAGGAGTGTTTGAAAAAGCGTACTTAAATAGACATAACTGCAAACTAGGTTGAATTCAGTTCCCTGTGGCCTGCCAGTCAGTTGTGTTTACAGGCTTGTTTTCCTGCAAGCAGCGCCTTTTTAAGTTTCTAGCTGGCCAACAGTGCCACCCAGGGGTATGAGTTTACATCAGCTTTTTTTTTCTAGTCTGCATCAGTCCTCACTTACAAATTGCATTGTTTTGGTTTGGTTTTTACATGGTCCGAAATGGTCAGCTCCACCGTTCTTGTCAGTTAAAGTTGTAATGTAGTCATCATCTCTTGACTGTCCTTCTTCTGCCTTCTGAAATCCAAGACTTTAAAGCTTATTCCCATATAATGTTGCTAAGATATGGTATATACAGTCTTGAGTGAATATAATGTTGCTAAGATATGGTATGTACAGTCTCGAGTGAACATTCTCATCCATACCCTTCTTTCACACCTCTTGACTTATATCTGTCAAGACCAGGAAGTAGAAAAATCTCGTTTCATTCACTTTCATGGCAAACACAGCTCTAAGAGAATTTTATTTGCGTGTTGGCTGTGACCATGCATTTCTGTTTCTGTCTGTTGCATCTCTCTTCACTTTATCAGATTAGCTATGAAGAATCTTCAAAGTCACAGGAGCATAATCTTCACTTTACTTACTTAAGATGGGAGAAATAAGTCTTGCCTCCACTCTGACAACAAAATTCTCATGGCTATTCAGGAAACTTTCAAACATAGTTTTGTGCCCCTTTTTTTTCTTTGTTTGTGTCACGTAACAAAGACATAATAAGTTCTTTATCAAACTTAGCAAGGCCTTTACTCTACTTCCTGCCATTTTTTTTCCTGTATGATAGATTAGACTTATGTGCTGGAGTTGCTGCCTCTTATGTTGGCTAACATTTACTCTTGTGTGCTTTCTGTACCCATGTTCCCCTTGCTGTCTACCTTTTGAAACTTAAACTCTGAGGAATCTTCTGGTGTTGGTTGCCTAGTAAAATAGAGCTCTGGCCCATGCCCAGCGTTTTCAAAAGTTAACATGAAGTTGTTGGTAGCTGAACTCTCATATTTAATTGTGGAATGTGAGTTACTAGTCTTAGGCTCCAGATTTAGGAGCATTTTCATGTCTTTCTAAAGTCCTTGTATGTTGATACTTCATAATAAATACGCCAGTCTTTCCTACCACTTCTTGGGGGTTGAAGAAGGTTTTGTTTGTTTGTTTGTTTGCCAACCCCCTTCCCCCGAGTGCTGTTCCCTGATATGAAAGAGCATGTTCTTTCGTATTATTTGTCTAGTTGGGAATCTATTGATCCGATTTAAACTGTTAAGAATTCTGCACACAAAAAAGTTAAGTGGCAAAAAACAAGGAGACGTTTCTAACGTCTATGCTTCAACTACCTGCAACTGTCTAATCTTCAGCGGCAGCTTGGTTAGTTATCTAATGACAATGACCTTGCTTTTCAGTTAAACTTGTGGGTTTGATAGTAAGTATTACTAATATGTGTCTAGAATGAGAATGTACAATTTTTTAAAATGTTAATAATGAGTATAAGATGTGATTTGGGTTTAGAAATGATGTAAAATTTTCCTGAGACATAAGGAAAAAATGAACATAAATAATGCTCTAATGATGACGTTCCAAGGAAAGTCAGTTTTAAAGTATATGCTGGACATATACAGTAATGTAAGCCAGGTCATCAGCTAGTTTGTCAACTGTAGGAATAATCCAGGTAGGTGTGTGTATTGTATTAGAAATGACAGTAATATTTTCTTGTTTTGGTAAGTTAAGTGCGTAGGTGGGATTACAGCCTTTGATATATTTTCCTGAAGGAAAGGAAAAACAAAAGACTAGCTGGCCTCCAAAGTAACTATATGCTTGTGTTTTTGTTTTTTTGTTTTTTTTTTTTTTTTTTTTTTTTTTTTTTTTTTTGGCTTAGGGAAACAAATGCGGTGTAAAGCTGATGAATTAGGAAAAGAGTAAAATTGTCACATCCCAGGATCTTGTTACTGTCCAAGATGATCATAGAAGAACAGCAGATCAGTCATAAAGGCATTAACTTCCATTTCAAGTTGCACAGATTATGAATACATTCCAAGCACTGGAACTGTCCACAGGGTTATACTTTACAAAGTACCTTAACAGAGCCTTTCCATCTGGAATTATAATTTGAATAATAATTTCTTCAAGCAATATTTCAAGCAGAGGTTTTTGTCCGCAAAAGTGCAAACAACTCTGTTGTAATTCACTGGTCCCCTGTGGGAAAAGATGCTTAAATATTGTAAGGAGAACATGTAAGACTGTAGAATTTCTGTGCTCTGTGAATTGTCATGGCAGTAGCCTACAGCGTAGCTGTCAGAGGACAGTTTAAAAGAATTCCCTGTAATAGTGAGATACAGTATCATCCGCATTCTGTGCTTGTACATACAGGGTGGCTTTTGTTACTAGTATTCTGATACCTACTTGCTATAGCTTTGAGTAACGTGCTGCTGCCTGGGAATCTGAGCACTGCGATGTTAGCAATCCGGTATGCAAAGAGTAATATGAGTACTTAGAGTACTTCAAAATTGACTTCACTGTCATTTTTCTTTTATGCTTTCTACTGACTCCTGTCCCTGTGTTCTTTTTTATTCTCCTACTTGCTCACCTGCAGTTGCTAAACCCCTTTTGCTCTTTCATCAAGTGTTAAATGGTCTGTTTGTGTTCCTCACCCAAGTTCATTGTCATAGATTTTCCTTTTGCCTGCTTCCAGGCTATTTGTTACCTAGTGTAGAGTACTGTTGTTACAGTATCTGAGATGTGTGCATGTTCCTTCAGCTGGAGATACCCCAAAAGTGAGAATTGAAAGAAACATGGCTTCATAAAGGCCTCATCAGATTAATTGTGACATTAATTGTACAATGAAGAAATATTGGGCCATGTTGAAGAAAAAAAGCTGTCCGTTAAATATGGAAGGAGAATGTTATCTGCAATTGGTTATTCTTATGTAAACCAAGTAAGAAATGGTGAGAACCATTTAAAAGAGAGTAACCTTTGATACCTGCAGAGCAATTTTTAGGGTTGAGATTGAGTACCTCTGTTCTTCCAAAACATCCGCAGTCACACTTCTTCGTGTATTGTCTCTTCAGAAGTCTTTTCTGCTTGGGTCCTCTTTTCTGAAGGTTTCCTACCTTCTCCTCAGTTTGTGGGTCCCATGCCAAAGTGAGCACTATGTTAAATGCTATGTTCACTAGGTTTGACATCTAGTTTATAAAGAGAGAATGTGTAATCAGAAAACGTATTATGGGGATGGTTTTTTTTATTATTTCTTTGCAGTGAGGATCTCAGGCGTTGGTTTCTTCAACAAGAAATGGATCTCTTGCGATATCGCTTCAATGAACTGTCTGATAATTTAAAGCAGAAATTCCTGGAACACGTTAACTTATCTTTTGAAGCTGTAAGTATGTTACTTTCTGGATTTGTGTTATATAGCGTATGCCTGATGTTTTTTAAAATTCTCATTAAGATAGTTTCAGTACTTCTGTTTAAAAAATAAAGAGTGCCCTTGTGGCTTTAAAAAACAACCACACAGAACTTCTGAACTTGGAGAATAGTCATGCCACAGAAATGAGGACTAAGTGATACAGTTTTGTGCTGCAAGAAGAGAAGTTGTCTGCTTCAGTCAACCAACACTTAACTGAAAAATGTGTAATTACAAAAGCAGCTTAACAAGCAACGTCATTCTAGTTCCTTACCAACTTATGAAAAACCTTAAAAACACCAAATATGTGTAGACAAACTGTTGCTTTTGAGATACTTTAGGGATATTACAAAAGGGTTCCTGCTATAAACTACTTCATTTGTCTGAGTGGATTAAAGAAAAATGTCTATTGCAGTTTCTGCATTAATGTTTTCAGTAAAATTTTGAATTGCAGCTGTGAACTATTTTGTTAGAAAGCTCCAGCTTTGCCTGTAGCTCTCAGAGTAAACTTAAATTAGTAAAAATTAATGTATGATTATCACTCTAATGAAAAAACTTTCTCTTAAAATACTGCTTAATTAAAAGAACTTAAATATTCTAAAATATGTGGCTGACTTAAGCATTGTATGTTGCCGGATTGAAAGATCTGGCACCTGTGCATGCTGATGATGAAAGATGACTTGTGCAGTGTTAAGAATGAATTTGTCTAGCTAAACAGTAACACATGGGCTTTTCTGGGTCTTTGAGAGACTATTAGAAATGTCATTCTTTGGTTCAACAGACCTTTCAGTAAATGGTGTGTTTGTGGAGCTGTATTTCCGCTGCTTATTCCCCAGTCTCATATTGTTCTGTCACAGTTTCAGCATTCAGGCTTGTGAGAATAAATGAATGTTTACAGGTTGCTGTAAATAGCTGGAAGTATAGCTTGGTTCTGTGCTATTGAATGTGCCTTCAATATGTCAAAATGATTAAGAAGGTATTGCTTTCTTATGCCTATTGAGGCAACAAAGCATCATTTCATTGAAAATCTACTTCCCTGCTTCTGCTGGTTTTCCCCCTTCCAGTTCTGGTGGGAATTTAAGCAAAACCGATCCCTCCTTGCACTATCATGTATAAAATATTTGAATATTACTAAGGAATTCCATACATACCTGAAATGGTTCTAAACTTTGTGGTGCTATGTAGGGCTCACTAAAGAATAACGCCACTGTAAAAGCAGTATTCTTTTTCTAAGCGTTGTATTTGTAAAGGGCTTTAAAAGGGAAATGAAGATGAACTGTGCTATTCATACTTCTCTATTAGAAGTTACACATGCCTTACTGTGCATAAAACAAGATGGAAATCAAAGTTTGTGTTCTGCCTGTTAGAAAAGGGAATGGTGTCCAGGAAAAGGAAGTAAGTTCTGATATTACAATCCAGTTTCTGTATTGGTAAACCAATAGGAATTCTCCTATTGGACTTTAGTTGCTTAAGATACCCTAAGAAAGTTAGTTAAATTTCTTTAAGGAGAAGACAGGCACCTTGCATGTTCTAGATAATGGTTCTGCATTTCAGAATTGCAGTCTGAGATAGGTCAGAGCTGCTGAATGTAGTCTGGCGCAGCTATGTCTCCAGTTAACAATTCTAAGAACCATTGTAAGAAGCAATTCTTAGTATTTAATAAAAGAACCGGTCAACTTTTCTTGTGGAGAGGAGTAATAAGTGGCTCGTCTTGTACAGTTTTGTCACAGTTGTCTTCATTTACAGCAACAAAGTGAAGCTGAACACTGAGAATTCAATAGCTGTTACTTCTCTCCTTTTCATGTTTGCTTACATGCATGGGAGAGTGAGATGTGTATTCTTACAATTTTTTGCAGAGGTTTTGCAGACTAATTCCTGAGGTTTTGTGAGTTATGGATTGAGAATTATTGCTTTATAGAATCAAGAAGTCTTCAGTCCCACTCAGGGGTAATATTTAAGCAGCTGTTAAGATCTTCTTTGAAGACTGTAGCGCCAAAGATCTTATTTAGCAACTTTTTGGAAAGACTGAAGTTGATAACAACTAGAAGAAAAAATATCAGACTCTCTGAATTTTTTATGTGACAGTCAGCTGCGAAGAATTTGAAATGATAGTAGTTCTGATCTCATGATTAAAGAGAATTTTAATCAAAGAACAAGAACTTCGTGAAGATAGAAATGGAAATGAAACTTAATGAAAATGAATGTTTTCACTTTCATAATAAGATTTCTTATGTCCTGTGACTGACATTTATATTGCTAATGGAGCAAAATACATGGGAAGGAGTTTGTTAAAATAAGTAAATATTTATTCTGGGGAGCTGCACCTGATTCTAAAGATTCCCTTTACTTGTAAAGAGGAGGCTATAAACTGTTCAAAGTATTCAGATTAAAGATGATGACTTCAGTATAATGAATTTGCATTTGAATATGCATAGGATTATGGTCATTCAGAATTTTTACAATATTTGTGAAAATAAGCTTCTGTACATTTAGTATAAATTATGGAAATTTGAAGCTTAGGTAAATTCTCCCTTGAAATGGTTTTACAAAGCAGTCACTGCATTGAGTTAGTCCATCTTTAGTATTTCTGTGAGAAGCCTCTGGAATCTGAGCTTTCTGAAAAAAAATGAAATTTTGCTTTGAGTTTATATTTGAATTTTATTTTAATCACTTGTAGGAAATAGCTTTGGCCAATTTGTTTTCTGGCAAGTGTGGAAGATGCCTGGACTGGTGCTGCTCAGCCTGCTGGCACATTGGTTGGATGCTCAAAATTCTACACTGCTCTGAAATATTAGTGTTTATATTATCCCACCAATTTATGCCAGCACAGGCAAGAGGTAGAACATGGGGTATGGAATGAGATATCAAGAAAGGTAAAGGGTAGAAGAAAAGCAGGAATAATAGTGGGGAAGTGGGAATGATGGACCTCATTCTCACTCTGGTTTTTTTTTTTTTTTTTTTGGTGGTGATGAGCTGATAATTGTAACTGTACTGTAGTGTGAAATGACAGTCTCAGCTGGTTCCTTTGTTGCAACTTCTGTACATTTTTAATTATTTACACTTTTATTTTAAACTCCGGTGTAGATGTTCGACTGTTATTGAGACTGAGACCCTACTGGAGCCTTTGACAACTGATATTCTTCCAGTTACTTGTAAATGGTAGAGCGGAAAAAAGTTCTGTAAATGGCAGTGGTGCTTTCCTTTTCTTTAAGCGTGGATATGTTAGGTTAGGTAAGAAGAGGATGTCAGGTCACTGGTGGCAAGGGCTGCAGTTGTGCCCAAGAATAGAGACGGATGAGGATTATTTGGGATTTTACTCTTTTTACTTCTTAGTTTGAAAAACTCAATAGTCTAAACTTGTGAGAAGATGTATTCAACATCTCCGAAAATAACTTGCTTCAGCTTTTGATTTTTCGCCGCAGTTTGGGTCATGAATGAAACTATTTGCTTTATTCCTTTTGGTTAAAGCATTCTGTGTAGTGGAATGAGAGTTGGGCTCTTAATCAGAATACAAAGCCACAACTTTTTTTGGCAAAAGAAAGTGTTTTAATGAAGTGCTGTTTTGCTTGCAAATAGTAAAAAAAAAAATACAGGCTAGTGTACTTTGTGCTATCTGGGAGTAGCTGGCTTAATTAGTTCATTTCCATCATTTATTTTCTGATCAGTCATTTATTTTCTAATGCAATACCAACAGCTTTAAACAAAACATCTTTGTTTTGTGCTCTTCAGACACTTTGAAATTTTTTAGATGTATCTTGTCTGTTCTTTTTGGTATCTTTTGAAAAATTGAAACAGATTAAATTTTGAAGATGATTTCTATCTAACAAAATCATTTATACACCTTTCATGAATAGCTTCCCCTTCAAAATTATTGTATTGAGAACTTAATTCAGAATTTACCCCGTGTTTCTTCAGGAAATAAGTTGTAGTTGAACCATGGTGTCAAAAGTGATGTTTACAATATAGCCTCCTTTCCAGTAAATAGAGAGGCACTGAAGGAGTTTAACTTTTGAACTTTACCTTTGACAGTAGTTAGAACTTTTGGGAGCAAATAGAAATTATTTTGTATACACACACATTCACTCACTCTATGATACATTATTTGATAGAAGTCTCTTCCATGTGTTTTCCTGAGAGTGGTTAGGCTTGGCTTGGGAGCAGCATTTGTTACATGACACTTTTACAGGAACAACTTTTAGGAAATAATGTTTTGATAAAATATTATTATAGGTCTTTACTAGCTCATTTAAATTGTAGTTTTCTTAGAGCAGTGTCATCTAACTGATAGCCAGTTGTGGAGTATTTCTCTTGATGTTACCTGTTCCCTGGGAAAATGGCAATTTGAATAGCATTTGCTTCATGTTAGTTAAGATCCTGCTGTCTTGCAAAAAGGATCTAGTTGTTCAGCTTAGAGCATTGCACTTAAAAAAAAACATTTGCTAAACTTTCTATTCAGTAATTCTGCAGTTCTCCTGTTCAGTAAAGCTTATTTTTATCCTTTTTTGACACTTTAATTGCTGGACCTCATTCTGTAATCTTACCTGTCTTGACTTTTTCTGTAATGCTTCATAGATGGCTTGCTGTCAAGTGTACAGCAAATTCTGGAGAACTGCTTAAGGAGAAGAGACTGGAAGACTGTTTAATGCATGTCTTATTCTTGGACAGAAATACTCTTGCCTCAAAACTAAGCTTACTTTTTTTTTAAAAAAAAAAAAAAAACACATGGATCCATGACTCACTCCTTTTTCACCTGGTCATATAAGTTAATGTTATTTTAGTGTTATGTGGTTTGTCAGCCTTTGAATATGTTCAGATGTGAGAGTTTCCTGCTTTTGATGTTCCCTTGTCCTGAAAGGAGTGCTATATTGCCTTTCTTGACACTTTAATATGGGACATTCAATATGAGAAGAAGATTCGGCTGCGTAATTGTCTCTTTCTTTTTAGTGAACAAGAAATACTTACTGATCTGTTCCCTG